TCCCATACAGACACAAATCTTTCACTGTCTGTACCACACGGACAACAATGTGCTGTTGGGCGCACCCACTGGCAGTGGCAAGACAATTGTTGCGGAAATTGCCATTTTCCGTGCGCTAAATCTGCAGCCCAAATGCAAGGTGGTGTACATAGCACCGCTTAAGGCGCTCGTCAAGGAACGCATCGCGGATTGGCAGCAACGCTTCGAGCGCTCATCACTGGGGCTTAAAGTCGTTGAACTGACAGGCGATGTCACGCCGGACATTCAAGCTATTCGCGAATCGCAGCTAATTGTGACCACACCGGAGAAATGGGATGGCATCAGTCGCTCTTGGCAGACACGCGAATATGTGCAACATGTGGCATTGATTGTGATCGACGAAATCCATCTTTTGGGTGAAGATCGTGGTCCGGTTATCGAAGTCATTGTTTCCCGCACCAACTTTATCAGGTCACATACGGGCCGCTCCATACGCATAGTGGGATTGTCCACGGCACTCGCCAACGCTCAGGATTTGGCCAATTGGTTAGGCATTAAACGCATGGGTCTCTACAATTTCAAGCCCTCAGTGCGACCGGTGCCGCTGCAAGTACACATTAATGGATTTCCAGGCAAGCACTATTGCCCGCGAATGGCCACAATGAACCGGCCTACGTTCCAGGCCATACGCACATACTCTCCATGTGAACCCACGATTGTGTTTGTCTCCTCGCGCCGACAGACGCGACTCACGGCGCTGGATCTGATCACCTTTGTGGCTGGCGATGAAAACCCCAAACAATTCCTACACATTGCCGAACACGAAATGGAGCTGATTCTTCAGAACATACGCGACCAGAACTTAAAGTTTTGTCTAGCGTTTGGCATTGGACTTCACCATGCTGGCTTACAGGAACCAGATCGCAAGTGTGTGGAAGAGCTATTTTTAAATCGTAAAATACAGGTTCTAGTGGCCACCGCCACCTTGGCCTGGGGTGTCAATCTGCCTGCCCATCTGGTGGTGATCAAGGGTACCGAATACTTTGACGGCAAGGTAAAGAAGTACGTGGATATGCCCATTACGGATGTGCTTCAAATGATGGGTCGTGCTGGAAGACCACAGTTCGACAACGAGGGAGTTGCCGTCGTTCTAGTGCATGATGAAAAGAAGAACTTTTACAAGAAGTTTCTCTACGATCCCTTCCCTGTTGAGTCCAGTTTGCTGGGTGTGCTGCCGGAGCATATTAATGCTGAAATTGTAGCGGGCACAGTGCAGACCAAGCAGGCGGCCCTGGACTATCTGACTTGGACATACTTTTTCCGCCGATTGCTTCGCAATCCATCCTACTACCAACTGCAAGGCGTGGAGCCCGAAAATGTTAACGCCTTCATGTCCAGCCTGGTGGAGCGAGTTGTCTACGAACTGGCAGGCGCTGCATGCGTAGTGGAGCGTGATGGGCAACTGGTGCCCACGTTTTTGGGTCGCATCAGCTCCTACTATTATTTGTCGTATCGAACAATGAAGCATTTCTTGGATGACTTACAGCCGGGCATGAACACCAATGAGGTTCTGCTGGCCATCGCCGATTCCTATGAGTTTGATCAGCAGCCTGTGCGTCACAACGAGGATAAATATAACGAACAGATGGCCGAGACGAGTCGCTTCCGGCCGCCATCGGCCAGTTGGGATTCGCCCTACACAAAGACATTCCTGCTGCTACAAGCGCACTTTTCGCGCCAGACGCTGCCCAATTCGGACTATCTGACGGACACCAAGTCGGCACTAGACAATGCCACGCGTGTCATGCAAGCCATGGTGGACTACACTGCGGAGCGTGGTTGGCTATCAACCAGTCTTGTTGTACAACAATTGATGCAGTGCGTCATTCAAGCACGTTGGTTCGATGCATGCGAATTCCTCACGCTGCCCGCCGTTAACGAGGCCAATGTGGATGTGTTCCTTAACATACAGCACGAAAATCACGATTACCTAACACTTCCCGTCCTAAAGGAACTATGCAGAAAGGACTACGAAGTGCTGGCAGCGCCGCTGCGCGATGCCTTCGAAGAGCATGAGATCGAGCAGATGTACAGGGTAAAGTTTTAAAATTCTACACCAGTTGCAAGACATGTCCAAACTAATAACGTTTATTATTTTAACAGGTTATTCAAGACTTGCCGGAAATCTCGTTGCAAATCTCTGTGGAGGGTCGATATCTGGATGAGGAGTACGCCAAGCGTCCGTTGTCAATTACCCATGGTTCAATCAACTGGACACCGCTACATGCGAACGAGGACTATGTGCTGTGCGTGGATCTGCAGCGTTTGAATGTTGCCGGGCAGCGTAGAACTGTCGGCCAAGGTTACGCGATACACTGTCCCAAGTGTCCAAAACCAAAAAATGAGGCTTGGTTCCTAACACTCGGCTCGCAATCCAATGACGAACTGTTGGCCATGAAACGTTTGACCCTGCGCGGCATTCGCTCCTCCAATCGAATTTCCTTCCAGGCAACGCCACGCCGCGGCCGATTGATACTCACGTTATATTTAATGTCGGATTGCCTGATTGGCTTCGATCAGCAGTACGATCTGCATTTTGAAGTTATTGATGCAAAGGTCTAAAACGCATAAATCTTCACTAAATACATACCACAGCCACTCGTTAACTGGAGGCTCATAAAGTCATATTTATGGACTAAGTAGTTATATCAGCATATATTCAATTGTAGTTAAACTTACATATTTAATATGTGATTCCCGAGTATATGTCTAACATTTTATATATTGTTACTTGGAGCTCCCCCGTTATTGGGGGCTGTTGTGTAAAGTATCCATGCCAACTATCTTATTAAAAAAAAAAACAAAATGAATACATTGTACAACCCAAATAATGTTCTGAAATTTGTGTCCCGTTTTGGGAAATTACTTGCTCTAAAATTGTTAGCATTTAGTCGCCTTATAGGCGGTAAATAATTTAACATAACCTACCACAAGCTTACGTGGCCACAAGATACTATAAAATATTCTAAACTTGGGTCGCGTCTGATAAGAGTATGTTTAAAATGAATTACGCTATTAATAACTCAGTCTCTCTGGACAAACAGTGCTTACATACTATGAAAGAGCGCATTGCTATAATGAAATCACGGGAGTGTATAAAATACGCCGTCCGTAAATGGACAGCAGTCAAACGAGTTTTGTATTTCGTTTAGTTAAGTTCGCGTTGAACCTCCGAATGTTATCTATATTTTTGTTAGGCCTAACGCTTTTAGCGTTGTGCTGGTATTATCTTAAGCACCATTACTCATATTGGGAGCGTCGTGGTTTTCCGTATGATAAAAATGCCGGCATCCCATTTGGGTGTCTGGCCAGCGTCTGGAGAATGGAGAAGGCCATGGGCATGGCCGTTTATGATGTGTATAAAAATAGTAAAGAGCGTTTTTTGGGTACCTATCTACTCTTCCGGCCGGCTGTTTTGGTACGCGATGCTGAGCTGGCACGTCGTGTCTTAGCTCAGGACTTCGCTAGCTTTCATGATCGTGGCGTATATGTGGACGAGGATAAGGATCCTCTGTCAGCATCAATCTTTGCGCTGCGCGGTCAAAGCTGGCGTTCCATGCGTCACAAGCTATCGCCGTGCTTTACTTCAGGCAAGCTGAAGGGCATGTACAGCACATCAGAAGACATTGGGATCAAAATGATAGCCCATTTGCAAAAAGAGCTGCCCGAGCAGGGATCCAAAGAGGTGGATCTGAAGGCGGTGCTGCAAACCTATGCCATCGATATAATTGCCTCCGTTATATTCGGACTAGATGTGAATAGCTATGAACAGCCAGACAATAAATTCAAGAAACTGGTTACAATAATACGACGCAATACTCGCTTTTCGGCACTCTTCGGAATGATGATTTTCCTTGTTCCTTCGTAAGTAATAAACGGACTTCAATTTGGATATAAATGATTGCTTAGACGAAATTTTGTAGTGTCGCCAAGTTTTTGTTTCGCATTGGCTTCAAAAATCCTGTTGGACTGGCCATGTTGGCCATTGTCAAAGACACCATCGAATATCGTGAGCAGCACGGCATTGTGCGCAAGGACATGCTGCAATTGCTCATGCAGCTGAGGAACAAGGGCAGCATCGACGATGACGACAGCAAAAGCTGGAGCCTTCAAACCAATGATGATGGTAATCATTGAGGAATACTATCTGTTATAATCTATACACTTATAAATATCCCCTTTTCAGGTCAATTACAGAGTATATCTTTGGAAAAAATCACCGCCCAGGCTTTTATATTTTACGTAGCCGGACAGGAGACCACCGGCTCGACGGCAGCATTCACAATCTTCGAACTGGCACAGTATCCAGAGCATCTAAAACGTTTGCAAGGCGAGGTGGATGAGACACTCAAGCAAAACGATGGTAAAATCACCTACGATGTACTGAACAAGATGGAGTTTCTGGAACTATGTCTGCAGGAAACTATGCGAAAATATCCAGGTCTGCCAATGCTGAATCGTGAATGCACGCAGGACTATACAGTACCGGACACGAATCATGTGATAAAGAAGGGCACTCCGGTGGTCATCTCGCTGCATGGCATACATCACGACGCAGAGTATTTCCCAGACCCTGACAAATACGATCCCTACCGTTTTGCTGAGGATACCAAAAACTATAATCCGATAGCCTATATGCCCTTCGGTGAGGGTCCCAGGATATGCATTGCCCAGCGCATGGGTCGCGTTAATGCCAAATTGGCCATCGTCAAGATACTGCAAAACTTTAACATCGAGGTGATGAGCAAACGGGAACTGGAGTTTGAAACCTCCGGCATTGCGCTGCTGCCCAAGGATGGGATCAAAGTGCGCCTCTCCAAAAGGATGCCCAACTGAATGAAATTTGTTGAAAAATTGCGAAACATTTCATGCCAAATGTTTTCCATTAAGATAGCGCCTAGTGATTAGTTGATAGCAGTTAAGCCGCCTTATCAATGCCCACCAAATAATTTGCCTGATTATTTTATGAATAGAGTCAACACTTTTTATTAAATGCCTGCAATGTGCTTGTAGCCTCTCTCAGATAACTAAGCGCATACATGAATACGTTTATATATTTATTATATATATTTATGGATAGATTATTTATTTACAGGAACGATTGCATTGTATTTTATTTCGGGTATATAGACTCATATGCGTTATGCCATATTAATTGTTCTCGCGCTGCTCCAGTTGCTGCTGCTGTTCGTTCTCGAGCATTTTCTGCTTGTTCTTCTGCCTAAAGATCTCCTTGCTGGCCTCCTTTATAGCTTCGAAGATCTTGGCCTGCGACATGATCTGTTTTTGCACATTCTCAACAGCTGGCTCGGCATTGATGTCGATCAGATCGCTTAAGCCTTCGGACAGATATTCATTGTTGTAGGGCTTCTCCTCGAGCTCATTCCGTTTTATGAGTGAAAATGGCGGATAGGACGGATAAGAGGTGCGTTTACGTCCACAGCCTAAAATGATGTGTTTGACAATTTATGTTATTATCTAGTTCTGACTATAATATATAAGGTGTATCAACTTATGGCTTGGGTCGCCTGTAAATGCTTTGCAAAATGGTCTTTTCTCGACGTTCCAAAACGACATAACTCCGCGCGGCGATATGACAAATCATCACATTTTTTTTCAAAATCGAGGTCGGTGCGAAAATCGAAACTTTTTCGATGACTTTTTTTTAATATTTCGGCAAATTATGTCTGATTTTGAAAGCTTATACCTTTTTGAATGCGTATGGATCCCTACCATGAATTCGCATTCAAACAAATTAAACATTGATGGGTTACAAAATATTGTTGACAAAAAACTAACTCGTTTGTAAAGTCAACCTTTTTTGATGATTTTTTGGAATATTTCTGCCAAATAATATCCGATATTGGAGTTTTATACCATTTTCGACTCGTAAGGATGAGTCCTATTGATTGGCATTAAAAAAGGGGAATTCGAAATTTTGACCCAAATCGACAAAATGGCAAGGGAGATATGCATTCCAAAACGACATAACTCCGCGCGAAGCTATGACGTTCTAAAACGACATAACTCCGCGCGAAGCTATGACGTTCCAAAACGACATAACTCCGCGCGGAGATATGACAAATCATCACATTTTTTTTCATAATCGAGGTCGGTGCGAAAATCGAAACTGCTTCGATGACTTTTTTTTAATATTTCGGCAAATAATGTCTGATTTTAAAGTGTTATAGCTTTTCGAATGCGTATGGATCCCAACCATCAATTGGCATTCAAACAAATTAAACATTGATGGGTTACAAAGTATTGTTGACAAAAAACTAACTTGTTTGTAAAGTCAACCTTTTTTGACTTTTCTTGGAATATTTCTGCCAAATTATGTCCCATTTTTGAGTTTTATACCATTTTCGACTCATAAGGATCAGTATTATTAATTATACCAATCGAAATTTTGACCCAAATCGACAAAATGGCAAGGGAGATATGACGTTCCAAAACGACATAACTCCGCGCGGAGATATGACGTTCCAAAACGACATAACTCCGCGCGGAGATATGACGTTCCAAAACGACATAACTCCGCGCGAAGCTATGACGTTCCAAAACGACATAACTCCGCGCGGAGATATGACAAATCATCACATTTTTTTTCAAAATCGAGGTCGGTGCGAAAATCGAAACCTTTTCGATGACTTATTTTTAATATTTCGGCAAATAATGTCTGATTTTAAAGTGTTATGCATTTTCGAATGCGTATGGATCCCAACCATCAATTGGCATGTAAACAAATTAATCAGCGATGGGTTACAAACTATTGTTGACAAAAAACTAACTCGTTTGTAAGGTCAACCTTTTATGATGATTTTTTGGAATATTTCTGCCAAATACTGTCCGATTTTGGAGTTCTATAACATTTTGGGCTCGTAAGGATCAGTACTATTGATTAGCATTAAAAAAGGGGAATTCGAAATTTTGACCCAAATCGACAAAATGGCAAGGGAAGATATGACGTTCCAAAACGACATAACTCCGCGCGAAGCTATGACGTTCCAAAACGACATAACTCCGCGCGGAGATATGACGTACCAAGACGACATTACTCCGCGCGGAGATATGACGTTCCAAAACGACATAGCTCCGCGCGAAGCTATGACGTTCCAAAACGACATAACTCCGCGCGAAGCTATGACGTTCCAAAACGACATAACTCCGCGCGAAGCTATGACGTTCCAAAACGACATAACTCCGCGGGGAGATATGACGTTCCAAAACGACATAACTCCGCGCGGAGATATGACAAATCATCACATTTTTTTTCAAATTTGAGGTCAGTGCGAAAATCGACACTTTTTCGATGACTTTTTTTTAATATTTCGGCAAATAATGTCTGATTTTAAAAGCTTTTACCTTTTTGAATGCGTATGGATCCCTACCATGAATTCGCATCCAAACAAATTAAACATTGATGGGTTACAAAATATTGTTGACAAAAAACGAACTTGTTTGTAAAGTCAACCTTTTTTGATGATTTTTTGGAATATTTCTGCCAAATTGTGTACCATATTTGAGTTTTATACCATTTTCGACTCGTAAGGATCAGTATTGATGATTGGTTTAATGCCAAAGGGGAATTCGAAATTTTGACCCAAATCGACATAATGGGAAGGGAGATGTGACGTTCCAAAACGACATAACTCCGCGCGGAGATATGACGTTCCAAAACGACATAAATCCGCATGGAGATATGACGTTCCAAAACGACATAACTCCGCGTGGAGATATGACGTTCCAAAACGACATAACTCCGCGCGGGGATATGACGTTCCAAAACGACATAACTCCGCGCGAAGCTATGACGTTCCAAAACGACATAACTCCGCGCGAAGCTATGACGTTCCAAAACGACATAACTCCGCGCGAAGCTATGACGTTCCAAAACGACATAACTCCGCGCGGAGATATGACGTACCAAGACGACATTACTCCGCGCGGAGATATGACGTTCCAAAACGACATAACTCCGCGCGAACCTATGACGTTCCAAAACGACATAACTCCGCGCGAAGCTATGACGTTCCAAAACGACATAACTCCGCGCGGAGATATGACGTACCAAGACGACATTACTCCGCGCGGAGATATGACGTTCCAAAACGACATAACTCCGCGCGAAGCTATGACGTTCCAAAACGACATAACTCCGCGCGAAGCTATGACGTTCCAAAACGACATAACTCCGCGCGAAGCTTTGACGTTCCAAAACGACATAACTCCGCGGGGAGATATGACGTTCCAAAACGACATAACTCCGCGCGGAGATATGACGTCCATAACGACATAACTCCGCGCGGAGATATGACGTTCCAAAACGACTTAACTCCGCGCGAAGCTATGACGTTTCAAAATGACATAACTCCGCGCGAAGCTATGACGTTCCAAAACGACATAACTCCGCGCGGAGATATGACAAATCATCACTTTTTTTTCAAATTCGAGGTCAGTGCGAAAATCGACAGTTTTTCGATGACTTTTTTTTAATATTTCGGCAAATAATGTCTGATTTTAAAAGCTTATACCTTTTTGAATGCGTATGGATCCCTACCATGAATTCGCATTCAAACAAATTAAACATTGATGGGTTACAAACTATTGTTGACAAAAAACTAACTCGTTTGTAAGGTCAACCTCTTTTGATGATTTTTTGGAATATTTCTGCCAAATAATGTCCGATCTTGGAGTTTTATACGATTTTCGACTCGTAAGGATTAGTACTATTGATTGGCATTAAAAAAGGGAATTCGAAATTTTGACCCAAATCGACAAAATGGCAAGGGAGATATGACGTTCCAAAACGACATAACTCCGCGCGAAGCTATGACGTTCCAAAACGACATAACTCCGCGCGAAGCTATGACGTTCCAAAACGACATAACTCCGCGCGGAGATATGACGTTCCAAAACGACATAACTCCGCGCGGAGATATGACGTTCCAAAACGACATAACTCCGCGCGGAGATATGACGTTCCAAAACGACATAACTCCGCGCGGAGATATGACGTTCCAAAACGACATAACTCCGCGCGAAGCTATGACGTTCCAAAACGACATAACTCCGCGCGAAGGTATGACGTTCCAAAACGACATAACTCCGCGCGAAGCTATAATATTTCGGCAAATAATGTCTGATTTTAAAAGCTTATACCTTTTTGAATGCGTATGGATCCCTACCATGAATTCGCATTCAAACAAATTAAACGTTGATTTCTGCCAAATTATGTCCCATTTTTGAGTTTTAAACCATTTTCGACTCATAAGGATCAGTATCATTAATTATACCAATCGAAATTTTGACCCAAATCGACAAAATGGCAAGGGAGATATGACGTTCCAAAACGACATAACTCCGCGCGGAGATATGACGTTCCAAAACGACATAACTTCGCGCGAAGCTATGACGTTCCAAAACGACATAACTCCGCGCGGAGCTATGACGTTCCAAAACGACATAACTCCGCGCGGAGATATGACGTTTCAAAACGACATAACTCCGCGCGAAGCTATGACGTTCCAAAACGATATAACTCCGCGCGGAGATATGACGTTCCAAAACGACATAACTCCGCGCGAAGCTACGACGTTCCAAAACGACATAACTCCGCGCGGAGATATGACGTTCCAAAACGACATAACTCCGCGCGAAGCTTTGACGTTCCAAAACGACATAACTCCGCGCGAAGCTATATTATTTCGGCAAATAATGTCTGATTTTAAAAGCTTATACATTTTTGAATGCGTATGGATCCCTACCATGAATTCGCATTCAAACAAATTAAACATTGATGGGTTACAAAATATTGTTGACAAAAATCGAACTAGTTTGTAAAGTCAACCTTTTTTGATTATTTTTTGGAATATTTCTGCCAAATACTGTCCGACTTTGGAGTTCTATAACATTTTGGACTCGTAAGGATCAGTACTATTGATTGGCATTAAAAAAGGGGAATTCGAAATTTTGACCCAAATCGACAAAATGGCAAGGGAGATATGACGTTCCAAAACGACATAGCTCCGTGCGAAGCTATGGCGTTCCAAAACGACATAACTCCGCGCGGAGATATGACAAATCATCACTTTTTTTTTTCAAATGCGAGGTCAGTGCGAAAATCGACACTTTTTCGATGACTTATTTTTAATATTTCGGCAAAAATTGTCTGATTTTAAAAGCTTATACCTTTTTGAATGCGTATGGATCCCTACCATGAATTCGCATTCAAACAAATTAAATATTGATGGGTTACAAAATATTGTTGACAAAAAACTAACTTGTTTGTAAAGTCAACCTTTTTTGATGATTTTTTGGAATATTTCTGCCAAATTATGTGCCATTTTTGAGTTTTATACCATTTTCGACTCGTAAGGATTAGTATTATTGATTATACCAATCGAAATTTTGACCCAAATCGACAAAATGGCAAGGGAGATATGACGTTCCAAAACGACATAACTCCGCGCGGAGATATGACGTTCCAAAACGACATAACTCCGCGCGGAGATATGACGTTCCAAAACGACATAACTCCGCGCGAAGCTATGACGTTCCAAAACGACATAACTCCGCGCGGAGATATGACAAATCATCACATTTTTTTTCAAAATCGAGGTCGGTGCGAAAATCGAAACTTTTTCGATGATTTTTTTTAAATATTTCGGCAAATAATGGCTGATTTTAAAGTGTTATGCATTTTCGAATGCGTATGGATCCCAACCATCAATTGGCATTCAAACAAATTAAACATTGATGGGTTACAAACTATTGTTGACAAAAAACTAATTTGTTTGTAAAGTCAACCTTTTTTGATGATTTTTTTGAATATTTCTGCCAAATTATGTCCCATTTTTGAGTTTTATACCATTTTCGACTCGTAAGGATCAGTATTATTGATTATACCAATCGAAATTTTGACCCAAATCGACAAAATGGCAAGGGAGATATGACGTTCCAAAACGACATAACTCCGCGCGGAGATATGACGTTCCAAAACGACATAACTCCGCGCGGAAATATGACAAATCATCACTTTTTTTTCAAAATCGAGGTCGGTGCGAAAATCAAAACTTTTTCGATGATTTTTTTTAAATATTTCGGCAAATAATGGCTGATTTTAAAGTGTTATGCATTTTCGAATGCGTATGGATCCCAACCATCAATTGGCATTTAAACAGCGATGGGTTACAAACTATTGTTGACAAAAAACTATCTCGTTTGTAAGGTCAACCTTTTTTGATGATTTTTTGGAATATTTCTGCCAAATAATGTCCGATTTTGGAGTTTTTTTACCATTTTCGACTCGTAAGGATCAGTACTATTGATTGGCATTAAAAAAAGGGAATTCGAAATTTTGACCCAAAACGACAAAATGGGAAGGGAGATATGACGTTTCAAAACGACATAGCTCCGCGCGAAGCTATGACGTTCCAAAACGACATAACTCCGCGCGAAGCTATATTATTTCGGCAAATAATGTCTGATTTTAAAAGCTTATACCTTTTTGAATGCGTATGGATCCCAACCATCAATTGGCATTCAAACAAATTAAACATTGATGGGTTACAAACTATTGTTGACAAAAAACTAACTTGTTTGTAAAGTCAACCTTTTTTGACTTTTCTTGGAATATTTCTGCCAAATTATGTCCCATTTTTGAGTTTTATACCATTTTCGACTCATAAGGATCAGTATTATTAATTATACCAATCGAAATTTTGACCCAAATCGACAAAATGGCAAGGGAGATATGACGTTCCAAAACGACATAACTCCGCGCGGATATGACGTTCCAAAACGACATAACTCCGCGCGGAGATATGACGTTCCAAAACGACATAACTCCGCGCGAAGCTATGACGTTTCAAAACGACATAACTCCGCGCGGAGATATGACAAATCATCACATTTTTTTTCAAAATCGAGGTCGGTGCAAAAATCGAAACTTTTTCGATGACTTTTTTTTAATATTTCGGCAAATAATGTCTGATTTTAAAAGTTTATACCTTTTTGAGTGCGTATGGATCCCAACCATCAATTGGCATTTAAACAAATTAAAAATCGATGGGTTACAAACTATTGTTGACAAAAAACTAACTCGTTTGTAAAGTCAATCTTTTTTGATGATTTTTTGGAATATTTCTGCCAAATAATGTCCGATATTGGAGTTTTATGCCATTTTCGACTCGTAAGGATCAGTACTATTGATTAGCATTAAAAAAGGGGAATTCGAAATTTTGACCCAAATCGACAAAATGGCAAGGGAGATATGACGTTCCAAAACGACATAACTCCGCGCGGAGATATGACAAATCATCACTTTTTTTTTTCAAAATCGAGGTCGGTGCGAAAATCGAAACTTTTTCGATGATTTTTTTTTAATATTTCGGCAAATAATGGCTGATTTTAAAGTGTTATAGCTTTTCGAATGCGTATGGATCCCAACCATGAATTGGCATTTAAACAAATTAAACAGCGATGGGTTACAAACTATTGTTGACAAAAAACTAACTTGTTTGTAAAGTCAACCTTTTTTGATGATTTTTTGGAATATTTCTGCCAAATTATGTGCCATTTTTGAGTTTTATACCATTTTCGACTCGTAAGGATCAGTATTATTGATTATACCAATCGAAATTTTGACCCAAATCGACAAAATGGCAAGGGAGATATGACGTTCCAAAACGACATAACTCCGCGCGGATTTGACGTTCCAAAACGACATAACTCCGCGCGGAGATATGACGTTCCAAAACGACATAACTCCGCGCGAAGCTATGACGTTCCAAAACGACATAACTCCGCGCGGAAATATGACAAATCATCACATTTTTTTTTTCAAAATCGAGGTCGGTGCGAAAATCTAAACATTTTCGATGATTTTTTTTTAAATATTTCGGCAAATAATGGCTGATTTTAAAGTGGTATGCATTTTCGAATGCGTATGGATCCCAACCATCAATTGGCATTTAAACAAATTAAACAGCGATGGGTTACAAACTATTGTTGAAAAAAAACTAACTCGCACGTAAGGTCATTTTTTGATGATTTTTTGGAATATTTCTGCCAAATAAGGTCCGATATTGGAGTTTTATGCCATTTTCGACTATTGTTGACAAAAAAACTAGCTCGTTTGTAAAGTCAAACTTTTTTGATGATTTTTTGGAATATTTCTGCCAAATAATGTCCGATTTTGGAGTTTTATACCATTTTCGACTCGTAAGGATCAGTACTATTGATTAGCATTAAAAAAGGGGAATTCGAAATTTTGACCCAAATCGACAAAATGGCAAGGGAAATTATGACGTTCCAAAACGACATAACTCCGCGCGAAGCTATGACGTTCCGAAACGACTTACCTCCGCGCGGAGATATGACGTTCCAAAACGACATAACTCCGCGCGGAGATATGACGTTCCAAAACGACATAACTCCGCGCGAAGCTATGACGTTTCAAAACGACATAACTCCGCGCGAAGCTATGACGTTCCAAAACGACATAACTCCGCGCGGAGATATGACGTTCCAAAACGACATAGCTCCGCGCGAAGCTATGACGTTCCAAAACGACATAACTCTGCGCGAAGCTATGACGTTCCAAAACGACATAGCTCCGCGCGGAGATATGACAAATCATCACATTTTTTTTCAAAATCGAGGTCGGTGCGAAAATCGAAACTTTTTCGATGATTTTTTTAAATATTTCGGCAAATAATGGCTAATTTTAAAGTGTTATGCATTTTCGAATGCGTATGGATCCCAACCATCAATTGGCATTTAAACAAATTAAACAGCGATGGGTTACAAACTATTGTTGACAAAAAACTAACTCGTTTGTAAGGTCATTCTTTTTTGATGATTTTTTGGAATATTTCTGCCAAATAATGTCCGATATAGGAGTTTTATGCCATTTTCGAGTCGTAAGGATCAGTACTATTGATTGGCATTAAAAAAGGGGAATTCGAAATTTTGACCCAAATCGACAAAATGGCAAGGGAAATATGACGTCCCAAACCACATAACTCCGCGCGACATAACTCCGCGCGGAGATATGACGTTCCAAAACGACATAACTCCGCGCGGAGATATGACGTTCCAAAACGACATAACTCCGCGCGGAGATATGACGTTCCAAAACGACATAACTCCGCGCGGAGATATGACGTCCCAAAACGACATAACTCCGCGCGGAGATATGACGTCACAAAACGAAATAACTCCGCGCGGAGATATGACGTCCCAAAACGACCTAACTCCGCGCGGAGATATGACGTTCCAAAACGACATAACTCCGCGCGAAGCTATGACGTACCAAAACGACATAACTCCGCGCGGAGATATGACGTTCCAAAACGACATAGCTCCGCGCGAAGCTATGACGTCCCAAAACGACATAACTCCACGCGGAGATATGACAAATCATCACATTTTTTTTCAAAATCGAGGTCGGTGCGAAAATCGAAACTTTTTCGATGATTATTTTTTAATATTTCTTCAAATAATGTCTGATTTTAAAGTGTTATAGCTTTTCGAATGCGTATGGATCCCAACCATCAATTGGTATTTAAACAAATTAAACAGCGATGGGTTACAAACTATTGTTGACAAAAAACTAACTCGTTTGTAAGGTCATTCTTTTTTGATGATTTTTTGGAATATTTCTGCCAAATAATGTCCGATTTTGGAGTTTTATGCCATTTTCGAGTCGTAAGGATCAGTACAATTGATTGGCATTAAAAAAGGGGAATCCGAAATTTTGACCCAAATCGACAAAATGGCAAGGGAAATATGACGTTCCAAAACGACATAACTCCGCGCGACATAACTCCGCGCGGAGATATGACGTTCCAAAACGACATAACTCCGCGCGGAGATATGACGTTCCAAAACGACATAACTCCGCGCGGAGATATGACAAATCATCACATTTTTTTTCAAAATCGAGGTCGGTGCGAAAATCGAAACTTTTGCGATGACTTTATTTTAATATTTCGGCAAATAATGTCTGATTTTAAAGTGTTATACATTTACGAATGCGTATGGATCCCAACCATCAATTGGCATTTAAACAAATTAAACAGCGATGGGTTACAAACTATTGTTGACAAAAAACTAACTCGTTTGTAAAGTCAAATTTTTTTGATGATTTTTTGGAATATTTCTGCCAAATAACGTCCGATTTTGGAGTTTTATACCATTTTCGACTCGTAAGGATCAGTACTATTGATTGGCATTAAAAAAGGGGAATTCGAAATTTTGACCCAAATCGACAAAATGGCAAGGGAAATATGACGTTCCAAAACGACATAACTCCGCGCGGAGATATGACGTTCCAAAACGACATAACTCCACGCGGAGATATGACAAATCATCACATTTTTTTTCAAAATCGAGGTCGGTGCGAAAATCGAAACTTTTTCGATGATTTTTTTTTAATATTTCGGCAAACATTGTCTGATTTTAAAGTGTTATAGCTTTTCGAATGCGTATGGATCCCAACCATCAATTGGTATTTAAACAAATTAAACAGCGATGGGTTACAAACTATTGTTGACAAAAAACTAACTCGTTTGTAAGGTCATTCTTTTTTGATGATTTTTTGGAATATTTCTGCCAAATAATGTCCGATATTGGAGTTTTATGCCATTTCGACTATTGTTGACAAAAAACTAACTCGTTTGTAAAGTCAAACTTTTTTGATGATTTTTTGGAATATTTCTGCCAAATAATGTCCGATTTTGGAGTTTTATACCATTTTCGACTCGTAAGGATCAGTACTATTGATTAGCATTAAAAAAGGGGAATTCGAAATTTTGACCCAAATCGACAAAATGGCAAGGGAAGATATGACGTTCCAAAACGACATAACTCCGCGCGAAGCTATGACGTTCCGAAACGACTTACCTCCGCGCGGAGATATGACGTTCCAAAACGACATAACTCCGCGCGGAGATATGACGTTCCAAAACGACATAACTCCGCGCGAAGCTATGACGTTTCAAAACGACATAACTCCGCGCGAAGCTATGACGTTCCAAAACGACATAACTCCGCGCGGAGATATGACGTTTCAAAACGACATAACTCCGCGCGAAGCTATGACGTTCCAAAACGACATAACTCCACGCGGAGATATGACAAATCATCACATTTTTTTTCAAAATCGAGGTCGGTGCGAAAATCGAAACTTTTGCGATGACTTTATTTTAATATTTCGGCAAATAATGTCTGATTTTAAAGTGTTATACATTTACGAATGCGTATGGATCCCAACCATCAATTGGTATTTAAGCAAATTAAACAGCGATGGGTTACAAACTATTGTTGACAAAAAACTAACTCGTTTGTAGGGTCATTCTTTTTTGATGATTTTTTGGAATATTTCTGCCAAATAATGTCCGATATTGGAGTTTTATGCCATTTTCGACTATTGTTGACCAAAAACTAACTCGTTTGTAAAGTCAAATTTTTTTGATGATTTTTTGGAATATTTCTGCCAAATAATGTCCGATTTTGGAGTTTTATACCATTTTCGACTCGTAAGGATCAGTACTATTGATTGGCATTAAAAACGGGGAATTCGAAATTTTGACCCAAATCGACAAAATGGCAAGGGAAATATGACGTTTCAAAACGACATAACTCCGCGCGACATAACTCCGCGCGGAGATATGACGTTCCAAAACGACATAACTCCGCGCGGAGATATGACGTTCCAAAACGACATAACTCCGCGCGGAGATATGACGTCCCAAAACGACATAACTCCGCGCGGAGATATGACGTCCCAAAACGACATAACTCCGCGCGGAGATATGACGTTCCAAAACGACATAACTCCGCGCGAAGCTATGACGTACCAAAACGACATAGCTCCGCGCGATACTATGACGTTCCAAAACGACATAACTCCGCGCGGAGATATGACAAATCATCACATTTTTTTTAAAAATCGAGGTCGGTGCGAAAATCGAAACTTTTGCGATGACTTTATTTTAATATTTCGGCAAATAATGTCTGATTTTAAAGTGTTATACATTTACGAATGCGTATGGATCCCAACCATCAATTGGCATTTAAACAAATTAACAGTATCCAGAGCATCTAAAACGTTTGCAAGGCGAGGTGGATGACCCACTCAAGCAAAACGGTGGTTAAATCACCTACGATGTACTGAACAAGATGGAGTTTCTGGAACTATGTCTGCAGGAAACTATGCGAAAATATCCAGGTCTGCCAATGCTGAATCGTGAATGCACGCAGGACTATACAGTACCGGACACGAATCATGTGATAAAGAAGGGCACTCCGGTGGTCATCTCGCTGCATGGCATACATCACGACGCAGAGTATTTCCCAGACCCTGACAAATACGATCCCTACCGTTTTGCTGAGGATACCAAAAACTATAATCCGATAGCCTATATGCCCTTCGGTGAGGGTCCCAGGATATGCATTGCCCAGCGCATGGGTCGCGTTAATGCCAAATTGGCCATCGTCAAGATACTGCAAAACTTTAACATCGAGGTGATGAGCAAACGGGAACTGGAGTTTGAAACCTCCGGCATTGCGCTGCTGCCCAAGGATGGGATCAAAGTGCGCCTCTCCAAAAGGATGCCCAACTGAATGAAATTTGTTGAAAAATTGCGAAACATTTCATGCCAAATGTTTTCCATTAAGATAGCGCCTAGTGATTAGTTGATAGCAGTTAAGCCGCCTTATCAATGCCCACCAAATAATTTGCCTGATTATTTTATGAATAGAGTCAACACTTTTTATTAAATGCCTGCAATGTGCTTGTAGCCTCTCTCAGATAACTAAGCGCATACATGAATACGTTTATATATTTATTATATATATTTATGGATAGATTATTTATTTACAGGAACGATTGCATTGTATTTTATTTCGGGTATATAGACTCATATGCGTTATGCCATATTAATTGTTCTCGCGCTGCTCCAGTTGCTGCTGCTGTTCGTTCTCGAGCATTTTCTGCTTGTTCTTCTGCCTAAAGATCTCCTTGCTGGCCTCCTTTATAGCTTCGAAGATCTTGGCCTGCGACATGATCTGTTTTTGCACATTCTCAACAGCTGGCTCGGCATTGATGTCGATCAGATCGCTTAAGCCTTCGGACAGATATTCATTGTTGTAGGGCTTCTCCTCGGGCTCATTGCGTTTTATGAGTGAAAATGGCGGATAGGAGGGATAAGAGGTGCGTTTACGTCCACAGCCTAAAATGATGTGTTTGACAATTTATGTTATTATCTAGTTTATATAAGTTTTTATAATATTTAAGGTGTATCAACTTTTGGCTTTGGGTCACCTGTAAATGCATTGCAAAATGGTCTTTTCTCGTATTTCCATTGTATAACGCCGCTCAGCTTATGCTGTCAGAGAAAGGAAACATGTATTAGCACATATAAATATGAAATTCGACTTGTCTGCAGGATCTCAACATTTCAAGCAGTATCTTGGTCCAGTTTTAAGAGTAATTCTCTCATAAACACACATTCTATATAACACTTAATAATTTTATAGGCATTCGTTTAAGGCCAATAAAAAATATTTAAAAACTTCACAATTTAACGGCACCGCACTCAATGTTTAATTGTGCTGCATAGTTTTTATTGCACTTTTACTCACATTCACTTCATTGTTTTCGATCTCTAACGAGGCATTGGCAGTGTAAAGACATATTATAATCGCTGCCAGGCCAAGGAAAATCTCCACAGTGGCTCTCATTGTTCTTATTTCTTAGGTTTAACTGATATTGTCCGTTTAGCGCCTGCACTGCTTAACGCTTCAGAAGCAATTGATGGAAAATCGCGTATACGGGCCTTGGTCAACATGTCGGCTACGCAATGTGAGACTTGTTCCTTTCAGGATATGACAGGACTGCCCGCTGTGCAGCGAATGTATTTTGGTCGCCTTTTAATAGCATTTTGTGTTTTTCCCGACCTTACCCAGAGACCGCCCTCTTGTCCAACGCGTTCATGTTTGACGTTTGATTATTGGCCCTAACCAAAAAGTTTAATATGCACGAGAAATTTAAATTTGCTGGAAATTTAAGATGCATATTTAGAATATTACACAAGAACTTGAAGATTGCCTGGCGTCTCGTATAGATAATATCACGCAACAGAAAATATCACGATATTTTTGGCAGTGTAATTGCAACGCCGTTCTTCGTTCTCGTGAGAGCCGCGAGAAATCTATCTATTTATAAAGACCCGACACGAAAACCCACTCTCAGATGCGTACATATAAGAATTCGAATACAATATAATCACCGGTTCTTGTTTCTATGTATGCATTTTCCGAAAGTTTTCACGCTTCCTCAGGAATTTTCGGCAAAAACAGCGGGCAATTTCGAACCGATTCTCAGTGGAAACGGAACGCGTATAGACGGCTCCCGACGGAATTTAATAAAAAGAATTACATATACAGAAAGTTGCAAGTGCAGAGCAACAGACATCACTTCACAGACAGGCAATAAATAAACAATTTCTGCAAATTTGTATAAACAAAGCGCAGTTTGGGCCCAAAAAACTATAAGAAAAGAAACGCAACTGAAATATTTTGTGGCACGCTTTTATTTACGTAAAATTGTTCTGTGAATCGGTGTTGAAATCGTTGGAATTTCTGTGTCATTTATACTAAAATAGCATGTGAGTAATTAAGAAATCTATAAATTATACAATTTAATTGAAGCAGCCGGAAAAGTTAAGCACCATTTCTGGGACACATCTGCAATACCTGCCTATGAGACATTGCATTTCGTTTGTACGTCCCCAGTTGCCATTCTTTTTATTCTTTTTACACTTTTTTGTGTGTCTATGCAAAGTAAAACACTAAAAATACCTCGGCTATTTTCAGTTTTCATCAGTCTTAGTGTCGCACATTGGTTTGACAACTTTCCAGTCCTGTTTCTGTTTTCCCCTCATTTGCCGCCCTCTCTGATTTCACGGGGCTCTTTGTTTATAATCAAAAGATAATTGCCAAAATAATGCTGATGTCGAAATTATAAACATTTCGGCACGAGTGCCCAATAACAATAATTTTCACTGAAAATTACAACATCTGAATGCCTTGTATAAGGCATAAAAATGCACGTAAAAAATAAATTGGTATGAAAAGAAACTTTTCGGTTAAGAAAAACAAGGAAAAATATGTCGAATGACGTTTTGCTGTTGCAGTGAAGACTTTTGTTTTGGCGTCGTCTTTTTATCTATAAATATGAAAATTTATTTAATTCAATTTTCTCACTCTACTATTTTTAGACGGACATGTCAGAGCCCACAGCCCAACAACAGCAGCCACAGAATGGCAAAGAGCGTTCCAAGTCAACTGAGGAGAAAGAGATACCGCGCGAGCCGGCGCTGGTTTGCAAAGACATCAACGTAAGTATTATATACATATAAAAATGTATATGCATATATTCCAAAGCTATGGCCTGGTCAGGTTAAGTTATTTAATAACAATCAATATCAATTATATTCATAGATAAAGACTGAATTAGAGTGCTTAGTGAAATTGTTGGATGGCAAAATTTCAAAAGAAGAGGAAGTGGCCATGGAGGAGCTGCATCAGTATTTGATCGAGGACGATGGCTCCTGGGCGTTGGGTGACAATTTTCTGGTATTTGTGCAGCGCGTGCTGCGAGATGTTCAGGCCTTCTCGCCGGACACACGGATACATATGATACGCACGCTGGCCTATGCAGCACTCAAGGATGATGTGATTATAATCTTGCATCAGGATCGACGGGATCACACGCTGATGAATTTTGCACAGGATATTGACAAGCATACGCCCGAAGAGCAGCAGGCCTGGGCCATGTTTGTAAGTCCTTGCAATTCCAATCATTAAATAATATCTGAAATTTAACATTTTTTCACTATAGACTTGCAATCTGTTCGAGAACGTCGGTCCCTCAGAATGGCTGCTGTACATTTCGGAGTGGGAATACAATGGCCAGAACATTTCAAATATACGCGTAACCACCAAGGTGGCCGTCCATTGCATACTCTCGAATTGTCCGCAGCTAAAGAATATTGGCTCCATGATTTTGTACAACATAGCCATCAAGGAAGTGAAAACTGTGGTACGCACAACATGCTAGAAATTCAACATATTTAGTATATATCTGAGCAAATGTTTATTGAATAGGTATTCGATGATGTCGCTGTGGAGCTGGCAATGGCCATACTGCAGTTCTTCCAAAGCAGTCCCAACGAAGATCAAATCTTTCGCACGCTGAAGGCGCTGGCACGTTTCCTCGAGGTATTGACCCACATTCGTATAACATTTCAGCTGACAGCTGTCAACTCGTGTCATTTCTCTCATCTTAGGTATCTCCGGACGTACAGATGATTATTCAAATGATTGGACCGCATCCAAAACAATTTGCTGGCAAAAGCGAACGCGTCGACGAGCTGATAAAGATAATCAGCCGCAAGGTGCCCGCCTAGGAGCAGCAATAGATTTTTAAAGACCATTATCATAGGCAAGCCTTACTTTATACACACATGTACTTAGATCTTTCAATTTTTTGTAAAGCATTTTCGCGACACAATAAACATTTCTATTCTTTACTAACTATGCGGCTTACAACATGTCATCGCCACAGCAGAGCTTCAGCAGGGGAAATCCATTGCCGGCATTTGCGCGCAACTGTAGCCAATGCTTCTGGTTGGAGACAAACATTTCAGATGGCAGCTGTGTGTCCTGGGCACTGGCATCTGCTGCAACAGGTGGTTAAGAGTTGGAGAATATTCAAGACTTGGACGATTTGAAGCAACTCACGTGTCTTCTTGTCGAACCGTGGCGACTGCGTAATGGAAATGATATCTTCTGGCTTGCGCAAAAGTATCTTACCAACGCCCTTGCACATGCGCAGCACTTCATGGTTGCTCAGCTTGTCCAGCTGCTGCTCGTCCAGCAGAGTGCAGCTAAGGATCCACTCGCGCACATCATCAAAGTCGTTCAGGAGACGCAGAGCCCCATTCACACTGAAGCGTATGCGCTTCTGGTAAATAAAGTCCAGCCATGCCTCACAGATGAGCTTCAATATGAGCTTGAGTATGACTATATCCTTGGTGGCGCGTATGCTGGGCAAAAAGATCTGATCCAGCACATACCCAACATACAAGCTCTTGTCCTCCCCGTTGTAGACGCTGCGCTGCCAATGGCTAGCCGCGGGAAAGCACAGCGTAAAATTGGCCAAACTGAGTATGCGGCAGACCGCGGACAATATCTGAACACATTCATCGGTAGTTTTCTATCGATGAACAGAAGCAACAAGTTAAGCAGTTTCAGCTACGATAATGGTGGAGCTACCTTAAGCAAATCTATATTATTTGTGGTCTCAGTGATCAGCTTTGTGCGCAGCGCGACGCACACTAGCATGAGTATATCGCTCAAATCGGCAGTGAGTTTGGGCAGTTTAAAGGTGTTGAAGACGTTCAGGCATTGCTTCACATCGTGCTCCAGTATTTGAAAAAAGCGATCCATTTTCCACTCGCAGCACAGCAGCTTTGCCTGCTCGGTGACCCACAGACGCATCGAGTGCACCGAGTGATCTAGGGGAGAAGAGCTCCACAATGTCAGAGAAACAAACCGGCAACACTATTTTAATCAAATATACCCAGCCTATGTAGTATGGGTATTTGCTCAGCGACCGGCAATAGACTGGAATTATTGTGCGCCTCCGTATTGGCGAAATACTGATTACTCAGATTGACCAAGTTCGAAAAGACACTGATCCATACCGTGCCCGTAGGTGTGCCTTGTTCCTGTAATGCAGTCAAACGGATTAACTATAGTCATGTCCAACTTTTACCTAATCGCTTACATTCCTGGGAAAATCACGATACTGCTCGACGACTTGCTGAACCAAACGCTGTGGGTTACTCGATGAGATGAGAGCCAAACGAAAGAGCTGATCCCAAATATTATTACACATAAAACCGGTGAGGATTTCACCAATGCCACGTAATGTGGAATAAACCGGTTCGGGGATATCTTTAAGGCATCGCAATATTTAATCTATTTTATTGATTGTGATTGTCTAATTTTAACATTACCATTAATGTTCTGATGATAAAGCCAGCAGCGTATGGAATCAATATGGGTGAGATTATAGCAGGACATGGGCGTGTCAATCCACCAGAGCAGTATGTGATCCAATATGATGCCCACATAAGACCACAGCAAACGCAATCCACGCAAAATATAAACATTCATATCCACATCACCTGGCTTTCGGCTTTCTGCTGCGAATAACACTTAGGAATAGATTAAAAATAGATATTATTGTCTTACCAAATATAGTCGGACAAATTTCCGTTGCTTTGGCTATCAGTTGGGCTATAAAGATGCGCTCCTTCTGTAGAAAACTCTCGGTGTGCTTGCAGCGCAAACTCTGATTATCTTCAGGCGCTGGGTCACTCGTCCCAGCCAGATGCATGGATTTATAATCCTGCGCAGGATCACAGTAAGGCTGATAGTCGCCGGCAGCAAAGGATATATTCAATGTGCGCAATATCTCCAGGCTGGAGGACGTGGACTCGTTGTTGTGCTGCTGATGCTCTCGCCAGGCATCCTGCTCACCCATGTTGAACAACCCAAAGACTAAATCCAGCGCGTTCTGCTCCACACGCGTTTGTGCCACATACTGTAAAAGGTAAGTTTAGAAAATTCTGGAGGTAGAATCAACTGAACCAACTGACCTGTAGCACAAAGGCGAAGTCGATGTTCCTGAGAGACATCAACAGAGCTGGATACATGTTGCTGCACACATTGGCATGCATCTCCTCCTTGCACTTGCCACTGATGTTTGGCTCGTTGTCCTCCTCCGTCTGAGCATCCTGCTCCGGCTGCGGCTGCAGCTGCAGCTGCGTATTCACATTGCGGCATTTGTTATAGAGCTGGGTTATATGCAGTGCCCAATTAAGCCACATCTCTGACTGCATCGACTTGCGCAGCAACAGGCACAGCTGCAAGAGAAACATTGAGCTGTCGAGACACCAGTTGCAGTTGAGCGTTGCTACCCACCGTTCGCTTGAGCACAAAAGTCAACTGGCAGAAGCGTCTGTCGTTCAGCTCCATGATCAGATTGAATTTTCGCATTAGCAGCGCATTATAGGGACTGCGTTTGATCTTCTTCGAGAGCGACTGAAAGTCTGAATTTTTCGTTTCGTCCTTTAGACTCCAGTAGAGCTCCACCACATGCTCACACTCCTCCAAAATGGTATCCTAATTGGGCAAGCAACCAGAAATTAAATAGACAGCTGGATCTCTGTCCCACTATGCACTCACATGCTCGCTAAATATAGAAGAATTAACATCGATCACAATCCGCTTGGTAATACGCCTCAGCTCCAGGCCCAGATTACCAATTTCCGCGAACGTGTGCATTGGCTGCGATTTGTTGCGGCAGTACCATTTTGGTGTCGTGCTCATTTTTGGAGTTACCCCGTCGGCGGGGAGCAGCCACACCTCTCTCCTCACTCGCACTCCTGGGGCCAATCACCTGCCCCTTTCTAAATAGCTTTTTAATTATTGTGTCTCCCAGGCACGCATTCGTAAGCCCTTCCTTATTCCAGCCCAAGTTTAGCCAGAGTTATCCAATGCAAATTTTGCGAATGTTTAATCGATGAGAGGACGCGAGGCCGCATCACCTGGCAACGTACGCATGTGTTCCACTTAGTGGGCTAAAACAAACCAATAGTTAGGTAGATAACGCCTCAAACAAAACGTACGCCCAAACAATCAAACATCTTTGACAGACAGACGTTTATCATTGCACCCTACAGACTAGACGTGGAGTCCCTTAATCACAAGTAATAATGGGAAACACAAACATGCGCATTCTTTGTTTAAGAACTAATATAACTTAAATTGAAAACAAGCGTAGACATAATGTAGGATATCAGACACGCTAAGTATTTCCGTATAGACAAACCCCAGCGACAGCAGTTGCTAATTAGACTTAAAAGAGTATATATAATACAATATTCACGGCAAGTTTATTGATATAAGTGTGATTATAGATAGGTTTGATTTTATATTGTTTTTTGTTTTTCTTTTTGTATCTTCCTTGAATAAACGAGCTGTAAATATTCAACACATTCTTTTGCTTGTTTTTATAATTGTTTGTTTTTGTTATCATCTATGCTTATTCTCTTGTTCTATACACATCAACATCTGGTTTTGTTTTGCTATCACATTGAATTGTTACATTTATAGTAGTAGTTGCTGCATGTTTGCCTGCTTAAAATCTTTAAAACATGTTTTAAATTTCATCTGAAACATGTAGGTATACATGTGTATCTGTGGGCTGTGTATTGTGGATTGTATATTGTGTTGCGTGTTGCATGTTGCATGTTAAGTGTTGCTGTGTCTGTGAGTCTCTCTCGGATGCACACAATTGAGGAGCACACGTTTCAAAATTTTTAAACATTTTCTGAACATTAAACTAAACTTCTTTATCTCATCGTCATAATAAAAAACTCGTGTTTAGTTTATACAAATCAAATCTTAAAATTGCCTGCGCTTCTGCTATACACTAAGTTAGTGGCTGTTGCTTAGTTCCTTGATTTCTCTCTCTTTTTCGCACATCTCGTCCTTTTTTTAGATTTTCTTTTCTTTTTTTTTTTTGTTTACGATACATTAGTCACTTTAAAATATAGAAATAATATGTGTATACATATAGGTATATATGCTTCATCTGTTCCACGTAGTGTAAAATATATGTATAACGTATATATTGTATATATATATATTTATATAGATTTTGTATGCACTTCTGCTATGTCTATGTCTAAGCCTATCCACGCCTCGCTTAATCTTCTGTAGTAGTAGTTGTAGTAGTAGTATCCTGCAGCTCTTCGAGAGTTGGAATATCGTCTTGTAGTTTCAGCACTTGCAACCTTGGGTTATAGTGCCCGGCTAAATAATATGTATCATTGTTATCATATATGGTTTGATATTGCTTCGAATCGGCGCCAAACTTGTCAAAGTAATTAACAAACTGGAGCACCTCGCACCGATGCGAAATTGTCTGCACGTCGTTCTCATCCTCATGTGGCGATTCAAATAATGCACCCTGTAAAAAAAGATTAATATTTGAACAAATATGAGTATTAAAGCCAGATTCCGAATCTATGATTTATCTTACTGGATATTTCAATTTTGGACAGCCCGTGGTTTCCTCCGGATGATAGAACCACGCCACACGCACCACTCTGTTGCCAGCGGTCGTCTCCCACATAGACTCGATGCGCCCGATGTAAGGGCGATCCGGTCTACCTGTGGATAGAAATACTGCACAGTCCCCGACCTACAATAAAATGCAATAATTAATGCCCAGCAACTTATAATTTGTGAGGAGATGACAATTACCGTTATAGTCTCCTTTCCCCTTTTGATTGTTTTGTAGAATTGCTTTCTGGCGCGCCCCTTGACGCCCGCCTTTCGGTAGGCGGTTCCAAACCAACCCCACAATTGCCGCTCTGGCAAAAAGGCGGCAATTTTGCTGCTACCCTTGGAGTTGTTGTGCTCAACCAGATCATCGCCCTTGACCTAGACCGTGAAAAGGAGTTTAGATATTAGAAGATATTTCAAAATCCCACATCACTATAGACATTACCTCATCGGATACCTCGGACATTAGGTTGGACGTTGTCTCTTCCTCCATGTCCAGCTGCTCCGCCTTTACTTTAATCTCTACCTTAACACGCTGCGCTGGCGGCGCAACAGGTTCAGGTTCTTCTGCTACCGGTAACATTGTTGGTTGCAATTCCTGAACCGTCGTCATATAATCCTGCACTGGTTCAGCCTCTTCGTTGGCATTTTTGCGATGATGCTTCTTATGCTTTTTACGCTTCTTGTGCTTATGGTGCTTCCGGCTGCCATCGTCCATGCTGGCGCCATCCCCGGCCGGAACCCCATCAGCGCCGCCATTTTGGAATCCGTTCATTTCAACAGACTGGCCAATGCCATTCTGAGCCTTCGTCAACTTCTTCAGGCTCTTCTTGAGGCGCTTCTTTTCGCTGCGCTGTGTGAACAGCTCCATGGTGGCAGCCAGCGAGGTTGTGTTATCGCTGCTCATGCTGAAACCATGATGGCTGTGCGATTCCTCGCCACTCGGCACGCCCGTATGCTCCTGTGAGGAACCAGCGCCACTGTCACAACTGCGCAGTGCGCCACGCTTCTGCTTGCCTACAGAGTAAAGGGGATTATCGTTGTACTCTGTATCATGGACGAGGCGGGAACGGGGAATAAAAGAATCAGGGGAAAACGAAAACAACAGTCGTAAATAAAGAAGTCACAAAACAGGACAGTTATTAAGGAATAAACCACAATCGTAAGTATTAGCTTTTAAACTTTAAAAGATTGTTACATTCACTGATTAATCAAATCTTACGATTTTTGGCTTTATTCCCCCTAAAAAAAATAAATAGATGAGTTTTTCTCGCACAACGCACCGGCAATGGGATAATTGCTTAGTAGCAGACGAATGTTTTTCAAGCGGATCCTGCCGCTGTCGCCGTCATCAAACTCCACGCTGACAAAGTCTTGTGGCGTCGTTGACACCGCTGAAGTTGTTGATGCAGCTGCATCTTCAGTTGGCTCCGATTCGATGGCACGGCCTGGATAAAGGCAACGATACTGTTGGCTCCAGTAGGCGCAGAGCCGTGTACCAACTGGCACACTATCAACGCTTTTGGGTGCCACTTCTAGAATCTGTGCGGGAGTAAAGATTTAGATTAGCCGAGATGGCTACCACAAGCTGCTTACGACTCACCGTATCTTTAAGTATGTCCTCGCGCGACATGACATGCGACTTGTTGCCGCGTTCGCCATCTAGGGTTATGGCATAAACATCTGGCGGACGTAGGGGTTTCATGACCCCCGCATAGAACAGGCCGCCCATGTCAGTTAGCACACGCGTCTCATCGCGGTACAAATGATCACTGGTCAATTGTAGCTCGGCATCTACGGCACTGAGTCGTCTCTTTGCCTCCGTGGCCAACTGAGCGTCGACTGCGCTCGTTTTCAGCTTGCGCTCCTTGCGCGCCGCTGACTTTGTGCTACCCGTGTGCGAATGTTTGTGCGAGGAGCTGGAAGAACTGGACGAGGTAATTGGAGCAGCGGCGACGGCCGCATCTAGAGCACTGGGCTCCAGACGCACAAACGATGATGTGCCTGGCGAGCTGCTGATCGGCAAGGTACTAGGGTCCGCCTGTGCTTGTTGCAACAGCGGCGGGGGCGGTGGAAACGAATGCGTCTTCTCTGGGAAACGCAAAAAGCTGGACGCCTGTAAGTTGCCGCTTGAGAATTTTGGATATTTATAATCTCGCAGCGGTGAAGCAGTGCTAAAAAATAATGAACAGAATATAAAGTTATATATATTTATACAATACCAAACCCCTAGTAAATGCATCCCTTTTAACGTTTAAGTTTTTTGTAGCTCTCATTAGCTTCGATATATGTTCTTTAGGTTCTGAGATGGACGCGTTTATACATGCGGACAGGCGGACATGGCTAGATCATCGTGACTCTTGATGCTTTGCAAAAAATATATTCTATTGCAGATGCTTGCCTATTACATACATTTGCATTTACATTTACATTTGAAACTATTTTATATGAGCTCATTTTCGTCATGGTTTATCGTCTAGCTTGATTATTTTTCTAACAATTATGCATTTCATTTAAATAACATTTGGTATTGGTTTTGGCATGTCCTCTAGATTGCACCTTCTAAGCTTCCAACTCAAAGCAAATGCAGAAACTTACCCCAGGACGCTAGAGAGAGTTGAGCCGAGCGTCAGCTGCGGCTGATGTAGGGGCTGTTGAATTGGTAGCGCCTGTTGCTGCTGTTGTTGCTGTTGCTGCTGTTGTTGTTGTTGCTGTTGTTGTTGTTGTTGTTGTTGGAGCAGCAGCTGCTTGGAGCACTTCTTCTTTTTCTTGTGCTTGGAAATCTCGTCGAGCTTGCGCTTCTTTTTACGATATTGCCGTGTTATGTCCGCCAGACGCAAACGCATGCTATTGTCCATAATGCTGAAGACTTCTTGGCCAAAGCGCTGCGCATAACTGGGATCCATGGTGGACAGAGCGCTGCGCAGCTGCGATTGCAACTCCTCATCCTGCAGTTGAACATCGTCCTCGGCCAGCAGCGGCTGTTGCTGCTGTTGTTGCTGTTGTTGCTGTCGACTTATGCTGTGGCGGCGCTTCTTTTTGCTCTTCTTGCTGCAGCGCGAGGATTTGCGGCTCTCCCCGGACACAGAATTCGACTTGGAATGTTTGTGCTTCTTGCGTTTGGCGGGCGTTGGTTCACTGGCGGCTGCCGCAGCGCTGGACGTGGTTGGCAACTCAATGCCCTGCATTGAGGGAAACGTTGGTGAGGTATGCGACATTTGTTGTTGAGGGCAAAAACCCGACGACGATGCTGGCGGTACACAGCCAAACGGGCTATTATCTTCGATGACTGGTGTAGCTACTCGAGGTGAAGGTGTGCGCGATGTGGGTGTGGCAAACAGACTACTACCCTGCACCACCTCCTCCTGTATGCGCTGCTCTGCCAAGGCGCACAAAAGCTTCAAGCCGCCCAGCGGCTCTGACTGCGTTCTCTCTACTTCCATCAATGGCTGCATCGGCGTCGGCTCTACTGGCAGAACTTGCACGGCTTCATTGTGCTCCACTGGCTCCTGTTTGACGCGCAACAAAGGTGTGCTATTGGTGCTGATGTTTGACAGCAACAGCAGCCCGGTCAGATCCTCCGGCGCCGTCTGTTGTTGCCCAGGCAATTCCTCCATGGGCGCTTCAATTTGCTCGCTGGCATTCGCACTGGCACTAACAATGTCACTGGGATTCGTTTGGGTATGGCACTCGTTTGGTTGGTTGACGTGTGTATGGGCATTGTTGGATTCACTGGGTTTGGTCAGCTCGAGCGGCATTTGTGATTCGCACACCTCCAGCGTCGGTTTTAGAGGGCACGAAGAGTTCTCATCCTCGCTGCACACGGGCGTATCTGTCTGTATGTTGACGTCTTGCATCTGTGGCAGCAATGTGGCGGCGCCCAGACGAGGTGGTGTTTGCGGCGTGAGTGGCGCGTGCAACTTAAAGTTGAGCGCAGCCTCATCACAGGACGTGGGCGTATCTGCGGCAATGCCAGCAGAAGCAGCACTTGCACCATGCATAGACAGATTAAGGAGCGCCGGTGTTGGCGTACTCGGCGCCGTTTGGAAGAGTATTTGATGCGGCAATGGCTGGCCCAACGGCGTTGCCGTGGGTTCCATGGTCGCCGAAGTGGGCGGCGTAGGCAGACGCATTAGATTCAGTGCCTGTTGCTCGTTGTCGCGTGCCGCTTCCGGCAATGGCAACGGCTGCGCCAAAGGGTATTCCTCCAGCTTTAAGCCGGTTGGCGGCATCAATAACGAGCTCATGGCCAATGGTTTGGCTGCCATCGCCGATGGCTGAGCTGCCAGGCTAAGAAATCGCGAACTGCTAGTGGAGCTTAGGCTACTGCTGCTGCTCGTGACGCCAGCGCCGGCGGCAGCCAGGCTCAGGTTAATGGTGGAATTGGTTGTCGTGGTGCTGGTTTGCTGATTACTGTGCTGGCACAGAGTCGAGTTGCCCGTGGCGCTGGCCGTTGCAGCCAGGTACAACTGCAGCGTGGAGGCATACGGAGATGTTGCGCCCAAGGTGGAGTGGGCGCCCATCGAGGGGAAGATAAAGTTGGGTGACGGCTGCAGCGCAGCGGCTGCGGCGGCTGGCCCGGCACCGGCTGTTGCCTGCGGTATATAAGCTGACGGCCAGACAAACGCCGCTGCCGCCGCCTGCTGGAACGGATCTGTGGGCGTTAAGAGGGGAAAATTTGATATGCCTGCTGTGCATAGTCGAGTTTCGGTTTTTGTTTTTTTTTTATTTCAGTATATTTTTTTTTATGAATTTGGAGTTTTTGTTGTTGGGGGTAGGGTGGGGAAGAAAAGCGGAGTTATAAAAGCATGAATTAGTTTTTTCTCGAAATCAAGTTAACCTAGCTAGGATGCGACGATACAAGCATTAGTGGCAAATGTCACAAGCGTCGCTTGTTGTGAGTCATGAATGCGTATATAGAAAAATATCTAAATGTTAACTATATTTATGCACTGTATATATAAATATATGCACATATGTATATATACTATATATATCTGTGCGTCATGCAGATGTTACTTAGACGATGAAAAGAGAGACTTACCAAGCGCTGCTGGAGCGGCGGGTAGCAGCACCACCTGACCGCGACTTGCCTCGCGTGAGTATTGCAAGCCCACCGTGGCGGGCGACATGGAAATCACTGATTCAATGGGCAATGCATCTACAAACGCAAAAAAAAAAACAACAGAAATGCAATAAATAAATAAATAAATATAGAGTGGGTGCGAGTTGTGTAAAGTCACAGGCGGCGTGGGCGTGGGGGCTAACTACTAAAGTTATAAAGAAAAAACGAAGAAATTCTAAAAAGGACTCACTTGGATATTGCCAGAAGGTGGAGGGCGCCCTGTTGACACCAGCGGCGCTCAGGGCCAGTTCCTCGGCGGTGGCCGTGCCCGTGGTCATCAAATCACCGTTTCCCGTGAAATACAGATTGCCGCAACTGGTGGCGCCTGCAGTTACAAGTTCGTATGAATGCACAAACACCGGATCAGAATTATAATCTTTTAAATATTATTTCGAGGAAACTATCGAGCGACAAAAAAAGTTTTCAACTTAACAGCTCAGCGTTCAATTATTTAATAAACTTTTTGTATTGCACCACATCAGCTTTACAGGCCACTTTCGTGTGTATGTCTGATTGAGAGAGAAAGCTGTGTGTGTATGTATACGTTAAATATTGCAATGTCCTTGAACTATGCATTTGGCGAGCCACCTACCTCACACCCACTATCAGACACAACCCACCAGCCTATCGAGCCAGCAAGCCACTGAACCATCATCCCTTAGCCAACGGCTGAATAATTTTACAGAAATTCGATTAAAGCGTACACGACACACTAATTGCATTACATTAAGGGGCTATTAAGGACCTCAGATTGATGTTCGGCCCAACAAAAAGTAAAAGGCAAAGCGGAGCTGCCTCAATATGCAATTAGTGTCACACTTTAATTCTATTTTTTTTTTTTTTTTTTTGACAACTACCCACTATATGTATATACGTATGTGCTGTGTATATATAAAAATAGAATCCGCACAGCCGTTGAGGGCGACTTTACCATATGGTCACATACCCAAACCACTTACGCGTATCATATTGCCTTAGCGTTGGTCCTGCTTGATATGGAATGCTCAGCGTGAGCATCCCTTGTTGCTGCTGCTACTTATCCAGCGCCCTCCTCTCCTCTGTCCCCTCATTTGTGCACTACTGCCAACGCACCACCTTCCAAATTGGTGGACTTGCAAGTACAACACGACCCGCAGCCACCCAAAAGATGTGAACAACATTTTGAGCAGCAACCACCCACAATAGCGAATATAAGAAGCAACAAGAAAAAACTACCTATGAGTAATCCGACTAGATCTACGCATTCTACGCTCGACTAGGACGACGCTACAGATACGCTATTTCATTTATTTCCTCTTTAGAAGTTTTCAATAAGTGGTTTTTCTTTTAACACAACTCGCCCGCTTCTCTCAGCAGGCCATCGCCTCGGGCTGCAAGCACAAGTCAGAGGGCTGTCACAACAAAGACAGCCACACAATCCACATCCGCTACCCCGTCCGGATTTGCAGGCACATCATATGATTTTTGCCCTTTCAATCTTTTTTTAGGGTGGCATTTACGTCAGGCACAGCACTTTCTACCCCCAACTCACTGACGGAATTTTGAAATGTTTGTCGAAATCCTATTAGTGCCATAACTGAGCGCCCTCCACATTGCCAATCGCATCGAGTCACACGCTCCACGTCCGAGCCGCATAATTATGCTGGTAACGATGCCCCAGGGGACAGGCGAGTGGCTTAGCCAAGCGTTCATTAGTGCCAAAAATCTGCGCTATCTAATTCAATTAGAAGCTCGAAACAGCCGAGACTAGATTATTTTACTGCAAATTAATAAATATCTAATACATCATACTTTAGTACAAGCCGTAACTTGTACTTGAATATAAACTGTGGTTTTGCTGGGTTTTCTTGATTGACTCTTTCAAATTCTCAACAAGTTAAGGCAGCTTTGTTAAAGTGGCAAAGTGCGTGCACGTCTAAAGTCGATAGCAAAGTCTGCTGATAATAGAACCAGTAAATTCCTAACATATAAACAACACGCCTCTTTTTTTGTTGCTGCTAGTTGTTACATAAAATAAACTGTAAATGATAGTTCGAGAAATAACAATAATTTTCTATTGTTTTAAAATCATCCTCACTAAAGTTGGGTTCGCATGGGTTGTCGTACCCATAGTAGATAGTATTACTAAAATTAATATAATGCCACAAGGGACTATACAAAATATTTAGCTAGGGTATTACAACGTCGCCAGTTCGAAGATAACTACGATTTCTTGTTAGTTTTACTTTCGTGAGAGTATAAATAACCGCAAATAAACAAATCCGTATATTATTCTTATTACTTTAGTTGTCAGCTCTACTGGGTTTTCCGGGTTTTTCTTTGCTTCGTTATCTGTTTATAGCGAGTGACACATTTGAAACTGATAACTGCTATAACCGCATAATATTCTATGTAGAACATCAAAGTCTAAAATTGGGATTAGTTAAACTTACTCAGATCGGCGACACGTATGCCGAAACAGTTCATGTCTTTGTTGAGTGGCTGCTGCAAAGGCAGATTGGAGCCACTGTTCAGCGCAGCGCTGGTTGACTCCTGCGGACGCTTGCGCGCCACAGCAATGCCAATGGGCACGGAGCTGCCTGTGGATGGATGGAAATAACAATTATGATAATAATCAAATGGGTTGGGTTGCTCTTGATTAAGTTTTTAACATACTTGTGCTGGACGTGGACTTTTCCAGATCGGATACCTTCGGCGAGGAGGCTTCAATTTTGACCAGCGTCGTCAGCGACGATGCAGACATGGTCTTTGATGTTGCTGATGCCGTTACTGATGATGAGGTCACACTGCCCAGGCCGAGGGAGGTGGAGGCCGTCTGCAGGTGATGCTGCTGCTGGTGGTGTTGCTGGTGTTGCTGCAGCTGCTGCTGTTGGCAATTGTTGGAGCTTATCTCAGAGACCTGACAGGGCTCACGTTTGATCTGCACAAACGTATACGAGGAGGAGTTCGTCTGCTGATGATGATGATGATGATGCTGCAGTGGTAATGGCAGCGGCAACGGCAACTGTGCAGCACCAGAGCTCATATATTGCGCGGTATGTGCGGGCATAGCACCAAACGGTTCCAAATGCAGTGGATGCGCACCAATAGTGCCCAGTGTTGCGGCTGCACCACCTGCCGACGTTGTGGAGGGCACTAGAAATGTTGTTGTCGCTGCGGCGGCAGCGCCAACCGAGGAACTTAAAACATCCGCGCTGCTGTTGCTTGTTGCATTTGTTGCATTAAATGTGGCCATTTGTTTTGGTTGTTGTTGTTGTTATTGGACGTGTTTGTTAAATTGGGAGAAACACTTAAAATTATTGCTTATGGGCTTGAGCCTGGGCTGAAGCTAATGTTGCCATCGCCGACGGCTTCTGCGGCGCATATACTTCACATATACGCACACAAATGCGTGCGTATATACATATATCTATATATCTTTCTATAGCTATGTATTTATTTATACTGCTAAACATCCATTATCTGCGGCACACACGCACGCACGCACAAACACGCACGTACACACAGTCTACATTTTTACGTGTTTATATTTCTCACTCTTTGGTGCAACACTCAGCGGGAATTTGTTTGCATATTGTCAACTTTTATGCTATTTATTATAAATAAATGACATAATACACGCGCCACATACGTATGCAACTTGCAATATCTACATACATATGCATATATATGTGTATATATTTATATATATATATATATATATATATGTTCAAACTGGACCTGTGCTAGGTTCCCAGCAGCGGCGGCGGCGGTGGCGAAGGTGGAGGCGACCGATCCCCACTAACGCAAGCGTTTTAGCGTTGGGTTGTGTCCACTAAAGAATTTCACGATGCGAACCACCTACAAAATGGCATACACTTAACCGCGCGTTTTTTTTCGCGAATTAGTAATCCCTGGAAAAAAAAAAGTCCACGGGAGACACAAAAAAAGCAACTTTTCAAGTTTTCACTATGTTTGGCAAGTGACAATCGTTTCCGATACTGACTATCATCGATATTAACATCGTTTCGACGATATGTTTTTAGATATATTTTGTTTTATATCGATATATTTAATACCACACTCGATGCCATTGGAGAATAATCGATCAAATATATTTTTTTTGGCGCGCATTAAGCTGTCACTTTTAAAAATCTCCGGAAAACATTTACAAACTCAAAAGATGTTTAAGAATAATGCTGTTATTGTTTATTTTAAGTTACATAATGCTTATTGTTACGTCACGTATGATAATCATAGCTGTATTCCTTGTTATCTGTATAAATTATATATATTGTGAAATAAACCTAAATTCATGTTTATAATAAGCTACTTTGCAAACATTATAACAAATTATCATAGTTGCTGGCAGAGTCTACAACTTGAATCCCATTTATAGGTAAATGCGTCTCAAATCTTTTGGTGTGGTTATGGAATTACATTGCGGACAAAGCTTGCGAGCGCCCAGCGTTTGCAGCCAGCACTGCTCACAGTGAACATGCCAGCAGGACACTGAGATGGCGGGATTTTTATAATCGTCAATGCAAATCAAACATTTGAGCTTGCTCTGCGCCTGTTTCTCGTAGAGACGCAGACGTGCCTTTAAGGATTCAATGATCTGCGCCGATGTGCCACTGCTGCTGCTACGTGAAGTAGATGCCCCGAGTGCGGGTTGCTGTCCAGATGTGGACGGTGCCTGGCTGTCCGCCTCATTACTTTCTTCAGTCGATTCGCGGGCATTATTGGCGCTGATGCTGGTTTTGGGCGTCTCATTGGACGATATGAGCCTTCGCACATAGCTGGTAACGTCCGTCTCGGAAACACCCTCTCCAGTGCCATCCTCATTGTCCAGCGGTATTACGTCTGCCTCGCCATATTGTGTCGGTCCATAGATGTGCGTGTCATCCTCGTCCACATTGACATCGTCCTCATCATCGTTGGCCGCCTGCTGCCCACCATTGTACTTGATGGTCTGTCCCAGATTCAGGGCTCTATAGCCGCCCTGGACGAGCGTCGATACGCGGATGCGCTTCTGTCCCGCCCACTCGTATTCCTCGTACTCATCGCTGTCGTCGTCATCATCGCTGGAATGCCGTTCACCGTTGCGTCCACTGGAGCGCAGGCACTGGTTAACATGCTCCTGTATCTCAATCTGTGGGAAGTTCCTGTTGCACACGGGACAGCTGCAGGTCGTTTCAGCGGCTTGGCTAGGCGCAGCAGCAGCAGCTGTTACTGGCGGTGGCGCAGGTGCTGGTGGCGGTGGCGGAGGTGTGGGTCGTTTGCGTGTGCGTTGTCGCTGCCGTGCTTGACGGTTGCGTTGCACGCGCTGGAACACACTCCATGGCTTGCGCTGGCCGCCTCCCTCAGCAGCGGCAGCAGCTGACTGCGTTTGTGATGTTGTTGTTGTGGTGGAAGCATGAACAGGAGGAGTGGCCGCAGCTGTCTGTGCGGAACGCAGCTGCATGCCGTGCAATCGTTCCATTTCAATCTGGCAGTGATCGGCCACCTGGCTGCGTTTAATTTTCGCATCGCAGCTAGGACATATAACATCTTCCTCACCGTTGGCGATATTAAAGTTTTCAGTATTGGGCACAGTGTCAGTTGCCATGTCAAGAAGGCCTGCCTCTAGGTATTTTGCAAGCAAAATAATAGTTGGCCGCCTGGGCGTGAGACAGTGCACCACGGTAGGCACTGTTTTCGTGGTGTTTTTTGCTTGGATTTCGTTTATAAACTCAGATTTAAACGTAGTTTTTCGACCGAACGAACTAAATAAAGAGAACAACAAACGCGACGCCGATCTAGAGATGTACGCAATACAAGTACCGTCCGCTTATCGAATAAATATCGAACTATTCATGACTATCGCACAGCATATGGCACTACCTTGCCACCTGGCTAGAATCAATGACGACCTAAAAAATACTAAACGGGCTGAACAAACATCTTAGTGATTGTCAACCCCTCTGCAAATAATTATTTTTATTATTTTGTTTATGTTTAATATAAAAAAATACACGTTGAAAACTTGATGAAAATGTAAAATGCAATAGCTGAGCGCTTCCCACAAAAGCAAAACGCGTAAGTGAGAGTTGCTTCCTCAGCGATAACGCCATATTTTCGCAGCAGACGAAAGTGAAAAGCTGGGAAAACAGAATAGAGAAAATAGCAGTGCATTATTTTCCCATATCTGTGTCAGAAATCAGATTTTCCAAAACCGACTGTGTGCGTGCGAGTGAGTGCGTGCATACGTGTGTGTGTTTTTGTGTGATTGTATAGATATTGTAACGTTATTTAACAATAGCAAAATGTCGGAAATATCAAAAACGGAAAAGCAACACGCACAACAACAACAGCAACAGAGCAACATTAGCATCTATGGCAATCAAATGAACGTCATACCCAATTACACCTTGAGCGGAATGAGCTCCTTTGATGCCGAATCGCTGCCAGATTACTCAGAATTTGATTCCGAATCGGTTACTTTGGACTATTACAAGGAAAGGTATTTAGCAAACGACGACAATATCAACAATGGTGTCAATAATAACAACAACAACAACAACAATGACAACCCGTATTTTTTCTGCATTTTTGTTTTGGTTCCGTTCCACCCTTAATCTCGCCGCAATAGTTGTTGTTATTGTCGATTTTTGTGCTGTCCCAGTTTCGTTTGCTTGTATGTTTTTATTTTTTGTTTTTTTCGTTGTCATTTTTACACTCATTACATGTCGATCCTGTTGCCATGTCCAACACACATGCTCAGCAATGCTCTTGTATATACATATTTATGCAAATATTTGGATTCTCTCGATGTTCGGCTAAAAATAGAGCAGACATCGCCTCTGTCTGGCACCCGTCTGTGCAATAGAATCCCAAAATATTTTTCTTTGGCCAAATATTTCTCTGTCTAGTATACAACTACCGCCCGCTCACAGTTGCCACCCCACCCCGGCCACAATCCCTTCTGTCTATAGCATAGCATTTCCTTAAATGCTTGTCGATTTTGAACACAAGAGTCGCATCTCTTTTGAGCGAGCACACACGGTTTCCAGTTCATTTCGATTGTCTGTTAGTTGAAACTTTTCCACTGAGCTTTCTTGTCATTTCCTTTTGCATAATTAATGCAATGTGCAAAGAGCTGCTTGCAGTTTTACGGCTGTTTCCACGAACCGCCTCTTTATCTGAGGACCTGCCTCATTTGGCTTTATTTGGTTTCCCTTTGTTTTCATCGAAGCACTCAATATTATAACTGTAATGCATTGGGGGTTTCCCACGCAAGGGACATCAATGAAAAGAAAGCTCCAGCCTATTGTTTATGGGTAATATTGTCTAAAAATTCAAATCTGTAAAAAGAGTCATTTAAAACTCGAATTAGTTGTTATTATTATTCTTTTTAATAATTAACTTAATGTTGTCGAACCTTTGCACCGTATTTTATATTTAAAATTGTGAACTCTGAACGAAAAAAATGATTTTAAAACGAATATTATTGATTATATTTAGTTTAAATGGCAAAATTAAAATAATTAAAGTAAATAATCAAAAGTATTTAGTTGCCAAATATACCATGTGTTTATTTAAACGCAGATATGTTTGTCAAAAATTGTCTTAATAATAAACTCAAAATTTACATAAATTAAAGAAGTTCTTTCACTAACTTTTGTCAGCATAAGAAACCCAAACAGGCGGAATGAATTATATAAAATTATTGTAGGGTAGCAAAAGTCGGCCATTGGTTCGGAAAATGTTGATAAGCCCCTTTCCCAATACTTAGATGCTTGTCTATGTTGTTTTTGCATGCGCTGCTGCTATTTTGTTTTTACAGCTGATTTGTATGCGCTTGATTTTGATTTATTTTCATTGTATTATCAGCTACAATTGTTGCACTAATCGAAAATGTTACCAATTCTGTTTCTCCTCCATGCAATCGGTTTTAACAAACACACAGATGTTGAAAAGGCTGCCGCCAGCATTTTGAATTGAAAACGCATTTGAACCATTTTGCCGCAGTCGCTGTGCGCTAAGAATTAAGCAATAAACGCCAATTGAATCATTTTAATTGTTATTTATTCCAAGCCAGAGTTTATCGTTGCTCCCTTATATACACATTTAGCAAACTAACCAAAAAAAAACACATAATCAAATAAAAATCGCATTTGAAACGCATTCCAATTTAGTATTTTGCGTGGGCAGACGTTTTGCCTAATTAGTTTGTAAGGTAAGTTGGTCCATCATGTACATATTTAATTCGATTTAACACAGCTAAACACATATTTTACATATATATGCCTTTACAATTTATTATTAAAAACAACAGTGTACTACGTCCAGAAGCGGACAAAATGGCGCCGACAACGACAATTGAAACTATAACAATCACAAGGCCCCTCAAGGTGCGTATGGTTGCTCTAGGAGATCTCTGCTCAATAATCCAAATCTATATTCGCAGGTGATTGCATTTATATGCGGAGTCATAGTGGTGGTATTGATGATCATGGCATTGGCCTCGACAGATTGGCTAATGGCTGCCGGCTGGCGACAGGGCCTATTTGTGCATTGTATTGAGGATGATTCAATGCCGCCGCTGCCGTTCAATATACAAGATCCGCCAGGCTGCTATTGGACGCGCGATATTGGTACTTAGCTGTAAACAAGATCATGTGCCAATCAATATTTTAAACAACTCACTTTTGTGTAGGATACATCAAGGCAACCGCTGCGCTTTGTATTATCACATTGATAACGGACGTCATAGCCACAGTGCTGACTGGACTGGGCCTTAAGTCGCAGAATCATAATCTTAAATATAAATTTTATAGAATAGCAGTGCTAGTAATGCTCGTTTCATGTAAGTCGCCAACCCAATCCCTATTTAACTATATACTCCTAATTGTTACGATTGCCTCCAATTACAGTATTGGCCGTGCTGTCCGCTCTGATTGTCTATCCCGTGTGCTTTGCAGGCGAACTCACAATGGGTAAAGCAGCTGCACTTACTGAAAGATATTTATGTAGTTCATTTAAAATTTGTATTTCCTGCAGCGAATCGACGCGTTTGGGAGTTTGGCTGGGCCTATGGCGTTGGCTGGGGCGCAGCAATTTTCTTGTTTGGCGCCGTGGTTCTGTTGCTCTGCGACAAAGAATCTGAGGAGATCTACTATAAGGAGAGAAAAATTGTACATGAAAACCAAATGCGCGCCTAGGCAAGGCCGCACGACCTGCCTGACGTCGTTCTTTAGACATAAGCATCTAGCAACCAATACATACACACTCACACACACTCACACACTCACAGACGTATACAAATTTCAATTTGACTCAAGACTCAAAAACAAAGAACTCGATCAAAATAGTAATTTTCGTCAAAGAACTTTAGTTAGACTTCTGATTACGTCCATCATAAACCAATTTAAGCCAAAAATGAAACCAGAACGACTTGACTTTCTTCTCCCCATAGTACTGGGTGTTAGTTAAATAAGACTTGTTTATTAATTATTTTATTTTTTTCTTCATAAGTTTCCCCATACTACCGAAAGGTAGTTTTCCAAAACACACATACACATACGCCGCATCTGACATATAATGAAATATATATACACCAAATCGTGTCCAATCTATCTACCTACCTACCTATATAACAACATAATGATATATGTATAATTGCAATTTGTGTCAGCGAGTTTTACAAAATTGTAATTTTTAGTCTGCTCTTTGGCATAAATGTGACGAAAGCACAACAAAATTGTACTAAATGTACACATATTAAGCATATATTGAAAAAAAAAGAAAACTATTCAGCTGCATACCAGTCGTATACCTAGAAAATTATCATAGAAATTCATAGTCGTTTACACATGTAATCCTTCCAGATATGTATGTATGTAATCTTACTATAATCGATCCATACTCCCAAAACGAAACAAATATTTCGACAATACTACATCGAAACAAAATGTATGTGAACTTTATTTCAAGCAATTATCCACAAGCAAACAGTTTAATAAGGCGTTTGACAAACTGATTACGTATTTTTTCATTTAAATTTTGATTCATATTAAATGAGTTTGTTTCACTTGTATTGTGTTGTGTGTCAGTGCTCCCCAAATACCCAATGTACTCGAATATACATATTTTTGTATTTTAGCCACTCACCTTTTGTATAATACTTAAACCGTCCCGTCTACCACTCAGTTCACTTTTTGAATATTTTCTTAAGTTAATATCGTATATGCAATATTTTTAACACAATTAATTTGGCAGCTTGTTTTTTAAAGCACAATTGTAAACGCAGCTTAATTTATTTTTACATTTTAATTTATAATTGTACATTTGAATTGTGTTTTATGCTATACTTACATATCAAATCCAATTAAATATAATAAACATGTTTCTGACAACTTTTGTTAAAGTATACAATTGAATTTATAATTTGATATGAGTTATTTAGTCTCTGGCTTGTTAAAAATAGTTTCCTTTTATTTTGAACTGTGTTTTTGATCATTTATCGATCGAAATCATTTTAATAAGCTCATCGTAAATCGCCAAATGCTCTTTAGTTGTCTTCTGTTTCCGTTCTCCAAAAACGACAATTGACAAAGCAATTAAAAACAATAAGAGTTTTAGGTAAAAAAATAAACAAAAAGGCAACAAATGCCAGCAAAACGAGACGTAAATTACAACAATACAAAAATAAATACACGTGCATTAACATTCATATATAAAGATGACATTGAACAAATCGTAGGCAGGAACGTGCGGTGAAAAAGAAAAAGCGAAACGAGAAACGAGTAACAAGAAACATGAACAATTAATAACGAGTATGAAATTAACAATTATACCAAACAATTTTAATTAACTAAACTATTATTAAGTAAGGTTAATGTATGCAACTATTATTAAAAAACACAAATTCAAAAAATATGTAACTAACGAAACAATTATATAGTATACTCAAATGTGAACTTTTAAGAAACGTTACAATTTTTTATTGCAAAACGAATGCAAACAAAAAAAAAAAATAAAAGAAAATTAGCTATTAATTAACATAACACACACATAGAAACTAAAATAAAACGTTTTAGTTTTCCCACACATTATTAACAAATCAAAAACAAATACGAACCAATATATGTTCAATCATTACAACTTTTATGAATCATTGATAACAAAAAAAAAATAGAAACAAAAAGAGAACGTATCAAATTAATTGCTAGTGATCGTATATTCAATAATATTCACTTAGCCACATACTTATATGATAATTATGACCTATGTATTTGCTAATATTGCCAGTTATCAAGAATGAATATGTTTTACAAATTCTCTATACCCAACCATGTGATTAGCTCGGTTCTAATGTAAATACTTTTGGCCCAAAAGTTCAGTTCTCATCAAATCAAAGTAAACAAAAGTTTTTGTTTGTTTCGTTTGCCAATATGCATGCATATGTTTAAAACAACTAGATTTAGTTCTCATTCCATAATCAAAATCTATTCAAATGTGTACCAACAAAATACATAACCCACTAATTTAAAGGAACTTTAATTACATCCAATATGAAGATTTGACTTTTGCATTCGTTTTTCTTGGCAGAATGGCTGCTAGCCGAGCAACTATTTTCAGTGTTTCGGCTCACATTCAAAATTAACATAAATAATCAATTAATGTTCGGTGCATAAAAGAGTTTTTTCAAAAAAATTAAACCCATTTTTGGGTTGGAGCCTGAGCTCGTCTAAGTTCGTTCAATTTGCAATAGAGCTATTAAAATTGATTAAATTATTTATATTTGCATATTTTTATTAAAAATTCCATTAATTATATGAATCATTCATAGAGTACTGAAACAATCGTTAGCGCAATATCAAAAGCTTAAAAGTTTTGTAAAACTATTTTCAAATAGCAAACAAAAAATCCGTTTTTTTTTTAATATGGTTTAGTTTAGTCCAACGAATCCGGATTAGGTCTTGGTTAATTGTTAATAATAAATTGGACATCCAAGAATCAACCGGCTTGCAGCTTTGGTTTTCCAAGTTTTCCATTTTTTCCCAATTAAATACTTAGCTGGGCGGCAACAATTCGCACATTTTGTAAAGGTATTAATTAGTCATTAGTGTTTCAATTGTTTCGGGATAGTCTATTTCGATCTTGTTCAATGGTGGTCGATTCCCTGCATTAGCAATAGTCATTGGTAGGAGTAACATTTGGTAACATACAAGTACACACCTGCTTGGACGTGTTGAACGATGGCTAAAGAGTGCGAAATATTTTCATAAGGCTCTTGGCCTTGAAAATAGTTAATGTCGAGTATATCTACTGCGGGCAACAGAAAGACGCACTTCACTTCATAACGATAACTTTAAAACTGAGACGTTGCTATATCAAATCGGCTGTTGATACTGATCAAGAATATATATATATATATATATATATATATATATATATATATATATATATATATATATATATATATATATATATATATATATATATATATCAGAGATGCCTCCTTCTATGCTTTACACATTTCACGATAAAATTATAATACACTCAGATAGGGAATAATAAAAACCACGAAAGAAAACGTATATTCGACTCGCTATTGTTTAAATAAATGTATAGAGGAATTTATAAAGAAAAGCTTTTAAGGATTTGCATCTATAGCGAATAGTAGAGATTGGCGAGTTTGCTTAAGATACTTATTTTAAAAACAAAAAAGGTTTTGCAATTTTGCAGCATTTGTTATTTGAAATAATATTATTATCGATATAATTATTATTATTATTATTATTATTGGAGCATTTATGTAGTAAATATGTACATTGTGGGTACCTACAACTAAAGTTATTCACAACACAGCGCCACATCTTTAGTCTTTTTTGGCTATCAGGCCCTGCTTCTTCAGCTGCCGTAGTGCACATTTGGCAGCTGTACATTTGGCTATTCGGTAGTTGCGTCCAATGCCACGGAATGTGCCCTTGCAGAAGACATCGACAGTGACGCGTACACGACGACCATCGGCCAACTTCTCGGGCTTACCAAACTTGGCCGTCTCCGGTTCCAGCTCGAGCAGCTCTCGTATGGGTGATTTTGGCACAGAATTACTAAATTGCTCGATCTCGGGCTTCATCATATTGCTATAGACCTGCCACACCACATCCAGTGACATATTCGAGTCGAGAAAAATGGCACCGGCAATTGATTCGAATACATCACCCAAAGCCTTGGGTACCTCAACATCCTCAGCATCATCGCACTCCTCCTCAGAAAGCAAATAGTACTGTAAGGATATCCGAAACTATAATCGTGATATACGCCTGTTGTGAAGTCCGTTAAATTTCTTACCTCTTCACTTATGATATGTCCATTTTCCTGCTGAATGCGCACAAAGCGATCGATGACATCGTTCAGCCCTGGGGACAGATGGCGAAAATACTTATGGAAGCCATGCCGCACAGCCAATGACGCGAATATCGTATTGTTCACTAGCGCCGAGCGTAGATCGGTTAAAGCACCTGGCGAGTGTTGGCGTGGATCTTCATACAGATGCCGCGTTATCAAATAGTCCAATACGGCATCGCCCAGAAATTCGAGACGCTGATAGCAATCAGTCAGGCGGTTGGGCGTGTAACTGGCATGCGTCATGGCCTGCAGTAAATAGGAACGATCGCTAAATGTATAGCCTAGGCTGGACTCGAACTCCTCAAATCCACTTAGCAAGTGCTCTAGCTCGGCATTAGCATTGGGTGCAAAATGCAGAAGCGGACTGCGCGGCGTTGGCCAATCACCATATACTGTTATCATGTTGTTCAAATCCGGCTTGGTACTGCCTGGCATACGTTGCTCAATGGCTGCTGCTGTCGGCTCCAGTTTGTAGGGCAGCACACGGACTCCCAGCCAAGCCATGAAGAGCAGCGCTCCGCGCGGCCCACACTCGATTAGATAGGCGCCAATAAGCGCCTCCACACAATCGGCTATGGATTTGTCTGGTATGCTGTGCTGCGAGACCAGATTGTATGGAATGAAGCAACTGAAATCGTTCGTCTCGTTGGAGTCATCTAGGTTTGCGTTATGTGTCAGCTGTTGCGCAGCTGCGGGTTGTTCCACGCTGCCGACCAGACCCAACGACTCAGCCTTTTCACGCACCATCTCGCAGATTTGCACGCTGCTTAAATTCTTGATATCTAGCAGATCGACCAGTTTCCAATGCTGCGTGGGTATTTTAGCCTCAATCAACGCCTTCTCCAACTCCTTGGGCACATAGTAGCAGGGCGGTAGCCAATTGTCATGCGGCTCAAATTTTGTGGCAATCATATACTCGCCCAGTCGCTTGCGTCGTCCCAGCCGATACAGATTCAGATTGGCCACCTGTTTGGAGCGCAGATGACTTAGCTTGCCCTCGTGCACATTCTCATAGGTGATGTACAGGTATGTGGTAATGGCATATTTAAGGAACGAATCACCTATTGTCTCCAGGCGCTCCAGATTGATGCCATCGTTGGCATTGGACATTGTGAGAGCCTGCAATATGATGCTAGGGCTTGGTCCGGGATGTCCCACCAGGTCCGGCTGATGATCAAAGCTGAAGGCCCCATCAGGCCTGCCCGTTATTTGCTTTTCAGTTCGATGTGGCTCGCACTCTGATTTTTTTACCAACTCTGGCTGATACTCCAGTCTGAGCTGTTTATTGTCTAAGTTCAGTCGGTTGTGATCGTTGTAGTTATCAAAGCTATCGCCACAGCCCATTACGTTGTAAATTTCATGCTTGTGCTGCTGCAGCCACGTAGCGTTTAGCTCAACCAAGTCCGAGAGCTGTAGAGATGGTTTGCTGGCGAGCTTGGCCAGCATTTCCACCTCCGGCACGTATGGCAAAAACTCTTTTAGCAGCTCCAGCTGCAAAGTACACCCATCCTTGTCAGCTTTCGTTGTGCTAACTTCAGTGCGCTGTAGCACCAGCTCTTCGCCGTGTGGAACTAACATGCCGCTGCTCTCAATCTCTGATTTGAAACGCACAATAGACTGTTCGTAGATGTTACTGCTTCTGTGCTGTGCCTGCTCGAAATTGAAGCCAATGAGAAGATTCTTTGTCTGCTGGTACTGGCGTTCGTTGGCATTGGTGGCTTGTATAATGGACAGCTGCTTCTGGCGCTTTTCCAGCTCCTGCGCTGTTTCGATGGTCTCCGCCTCGTTCTTTGAGGTGAACTCAATGCGACCGGCAACGATGTCGTCACTATCATCATCTTCCGAGCTATATTGATAAATTGGTCCCACATGCTCGTCATCATCATAGCTAGAGCTAAGTGAGTTATCCGAGTCGTAGTAGGCGTAGTTGGGTTTTCCCTCTTCTTTTGCAGCATTGCCAATTCCAGAGCCACCATGCGGCTTTCCTGTGCGCTTTTGTCCAGGCGCTGCTGA